ATCGAGGGAAAGTATCGTCTTAAGCCTAGGGGGGGAAATAAGTCTTAATAATAATACTGGTAGTATACAAGTGGTAAATATCGTGGAAGATGCATATAGAGGACATATTTTATGTGTAACTTGTGGAGATATCCCATATTACACTTACTTCGGTGAGTTTGTTGCTGTTTTGGTTCTGTTAGCCTTACTGAGTGCGATTTTCTTGGCACTGACGTGTAGACTCTGTCAGAAAAGTAGAAAGTCGCGTGCTGTTGTCCAAGAAGTTAGCATTGCTGATGGCCTTGAGAAAAATGAAACCAACCAGCCTTTGCTTGAAGACAACAGTTCGGATTCGAAAGAGGATATCGAGACCCTTTTGAAAGAAACGGTATCCAGTGTGAACCAAGAGACCTCCAGCCACGTGCAACTACTGACGGAACTCAAGTGTAATTACGAATCGGGTTTACATGAAACACAAGAACAGATAAAAGCAAAGGAACAGCAGCTCGACTCAGACATGAAATCAGAACTGAAGACGATCGAACAGCAGTATAGCAAAGAGCTCCGCGAACCAACCATGTTCAACTGGGAAAAGATCAAGGAGGTTCTCTTAAAAACGAACGAGGCAGAAGTTGAACACATTGTTGAAAAGTACAAGGAACGTAAGTACGACATTCAGAATCACTGCGACGTGCATAAACTTCACTATAATGTAGCTCTGCTTCGAGAAAACAAACAATACTTGATAAAGCTGAGTGAAGCGGGAAGAACCGCCCTGATCCGTTGGAATAAAATCCGTAACTCATCCAGCGAAATCGGAGACGACGCCTCCGCTCAAAACCGTCTTTTCAACCTCTTGGAGAGCCTATTAATCAATCTGAAATGCGATCTGGAGCAAAGTTACGAACGAGAAATTTTAGAGAAAGATAAGAAATATGGGGAAGATACTCAGGCGCAGCAGGAGAAGCTCTCTCGAAAAATAGAAAAGATTGAGTCTGAGTTCGAAGAGGAGTGTCGAAAAATAGACCAGTCGCGAGCGGAAGAGATGGAATACACGAGCCTGTGGAACACTCAGTATGTCCGGGCTAAAATTGAAATACTGTACAATGTGAAGCTTCAGACGGCCAAGGTCCTTCACAGCGTTGCCCAGAAAAAAGCCCAAGACAAGCACTCCGACGTCCGACTCAAACTCCGCCATCTGGAGGTGCTGATTCAACTCCAGAACCGACACATAACCAACATGGAGAAACTTCTGACGATGATCATCGATACCATAACAATCCACGCCCAGGTAGCAACGCGGAGGGTGTATGGGCAGTCCTTTGAAGACGAAATAAAGCTTCAAGATTTCTCCCGAGAGGCAAGGAAGGATGCAGAAGTGTTTCTAAGATTTGTTTCAGAGACGATCGATGAGACAGATAATAGAGAGAAACAGGCTGCATTCAAACTAGAGCCTGATGTAAAAGTGTATAATTCTCCCTTGCCGCTGAAGGTAAACCATAACATTGACCAGTTGCAGAAAAGCCTGAGTTCAGTGAATGGATCAGAAAGTTCAAAAACTCAGAATGAGAAATCCAAGTCTCATTGCCAGGTCGCGGTATGTGCCACTGAAAATGGGACTGAAGATCATAAGCAAGCAGGTAAAGAGGAAAAGCCGAACATGCCAGAGGAGAGAAATGACACAAGATTTACCCCATGTGAAGATGAGGGAATGATACAGAACACAAGCTCTGCCCTCACTGGAAGCGAGAAAGAGAGTAACACAAAACTGCAGGAAATTGACAACTGTTCTGACGTCCCTGCTGGAGATGCTAGAGAAAAAACGCATGTCACGTTATATATAGAAGCGGAATCAAACAAAACGGAGTGATTTTACAGCAATTTACAGAGAAGAGATGGAGAGTGGTTACGTAAAGAGTACAAAAAAGTATTAAATGCTCTTGAATAGAACAGCAAAATGACTATTTACAAAAGGCGAAAGGGAACAGATGAAATTCATATCGTAAGAATAAAAATAAGAAAACAGTATTTACATGAAAATGTTTTACCTTAATATTAAAGAAAGAGATATTCGTTATGTTTCATTAAAATACCTTACAACCTTTTATCTGCGAAGGTAAAATGTGTGAACAGGAAGATCCAGAGACAAAGAGGAAAGAAATATAAAAACAAAGATTATTTTCTAGATAACCAAAGGGAAAGGAAAAGAGGATAATAAAAAAAAATCAAAAATGGTACTATGTATGATGATTATTGTATGCTGCCATAATTATTGTTATTATTATTATTGTTTAAGGCAGTAATAGTATTTCCTTTATTTACTACCACTACTGACATTACAGCTATTTTTTTTTCTTTTCTTTTTTTTGCTGCTTTACTATTGTAATCATCAGCATTATCATCATCATCATCATCATCTCATCATCATCATCATCATCATCATCATCATTTCATTTTAATATCATTTAATATCAAAACTTCAGAAATATATTTCCTTTTCTCCCCCATCTATGTTTATATA